CTTGAGTTGCTCTGTATAAAACCAGTCTTAAGCTGTCTTAAGTCTGAGTTGGAAATATTTTAACATTTTTATCACTACTTTGCTAATTGCGTTTTCTCTTGAGTTGCACTGACATTTTTTTATTTTACGTATTTATCTACTTTTTTGTTTTGGTTTATTTTGTACTAAAATATTTTTTAAATGAACGACTTTGAGGCCTTCATGGCTAATTATCTGGAGAACGAAGATCATTACCGTGGTGAAAAGCACCTCACCTAAAAGATATCTGACGGTTCCTGGCAATATCTTGGAAGTACTGGATGACGAAAAGTTTTTCAGCCGATACAGGAATGAAAATTTGATGTGTACCTATTCTTCTCATTAAGTAGGAAAGTAATATAAAGTACGAACTATTTGATATTTATGAATATTATAAAAGATTCAAGTACCAGTGCGGGATAAACTGCACCACGACGCCAGTCCTGTTGATACTATTTCTATATAGTTGACAATGTCAAAATACTTCTATAAATCCTTATACCAATAACGAAACAATATATATCAAAGTTATAGGTTCATAAGAACCCATGTACCTAGCTACAAAGGAACGTCTCCAGCCTTGACTTGTTTTGGTTTCTCATTTCACATAGGTTCAGAAAAGTGCAATGGAACCAACTTTGTCTGTTTGTTTTAGTTGCTCATTTCACATAGATTCCGTAACGTTCTATGGAACCTACCTATTCTGTTCCTAAATTTACTAGATGTGAACCCAAGAAGTTTCAAACTTCAGTTATTTCAACCAACAGTTCAACACATTGTAATATATAGAAATAATTCGTATCCCTACAGCAAGTGATACAATAAAACAGAGAGAGATAACTCTAAGGCTCAACTTGCACTGGCGCAGAGTCGAAGCGTCGCGTCGCGTCCTGTTTTTCAATCATACTTCGTTTCAATCCATTTTGAACAAAAAGTAAACAAACAAGTCACTGACTCGACCATAGTTGGTTTAGTGGTGTCCAATTGTAACGCCAACTACCAATCGATTAATTCATTGAATGAATCGATTTGTTCAATTGAGTCATACTAGCGGGTTTCCTTACATAACCTGTATAAGCATATTTAAAATTTCAATTTAAATCCTCCTTCAAATTCTTACACTTGATACTCGTTCGATTGCGATAGAAATATTCGATTTAATAATTGATTACTAAACTTTAATTTATTGAACCGAATGTTTTTTTTCGAACAGCACTATGCCACCATAGGCAAGTCAAAGACATATAGATGAATAATAACCTCACTTTTGTACTACCATTTTTCAAATACGATTTTACGATCAAATGAATATTGTTGGAAAAAGTGAAGATATATCGAAATCTTCGAAATATATGTGAAAGTGTTACTTATTCGATTTATTGAGTCATTGCTTAGAAAGCTTTATAGAGTTTTAACCAAACGGGTTTGTTTACTTTTTGTTCAAAATAGATTGGAACAGACTATACAACGCCTGGCGACACGCGACGACGACGTTTGCATTACTGCGCCTGGATCACAGTGTGGTCGGCGTCTGACGTCTCACTGCGCTCAAGCCGCTCACAAATTTGTACTTTAATATTGGGAAAATAGAGATGAATATGCTATAGGCGAAAAACAAGACGCGTCGCGACGCTTCGACTCTGCGCCAGTCTGAGTTGAGCCTAATCTTCATTGGTTTTTATTTTCATGTTACAGATTTTCCAAAGAAACAGTTGTAAACACCATTTTCCCGCTATGGAAACTTCAGCCATAATAATTGAATAATATATTTTAAAATCGAATATAAAAAATCAATATTAATTTATGAAACTAATATACATACTTCTAACAATTAAGGTCAAAACAGTTTGATGAATTTTTTATTCTTTCCGCTGAAGACAATGCAAAGGTAATTGTTTGTTAACTGTCACAAACAATAGTCCACAGACTACAAACTATTTTCAAAAATTCCCGCTTTTAATTTTTGAAAAAACAAGTACTATCATTGGCTTCAAAGTAAAACTTAAGACTGACCTTGGATAAGAACGAGCGAAAAAATGTTCATAAATGTCAAACAACACCAAGTCGCACTTAAGCAAAAATTTCATTCAAGCCGATCTTAGTAAAGAATTTTCTTAAGTGCGACTTTTGTTTTGTACATAAATACGGGTGTAAGTACTTTTAACCTGCGCACGAAACTTTATGAGGGTCGACCTACGCAGGGCGTCGGCCGATCTGCCGTCTCATAATCGTCAGCTTCCTTCTGCTTATGACCTGCTGGTCGTTTCGACTAAGGACCAATTTGAAATGTTCTATAGACCATGATGTTGTGTTAACCTTTGGTCCGAATAACCCTTGTTAATTATTTCCTCTGCTACGTATATTCAATAATCACGCAGCTTGCAATCTTATTTAGGCATTCAGAGAATAAAATCGAGTAAATAATTCGTTCATCAGAGAATTAAGGAAAATGAAAGATTTAGCTCTACATAACTTTTTCTATTTTTATTATGCAGTTTTACCAAAGACTAAGAGTTGGAAACTTGGATATTAAGCATCAGGGGCAGCATGTAGAGGAGGTACAAGTGACTAAGTTTTTAGGTATAATTCTAGACAATAAATTAACATGGAAACCTCAAGCAGAAGAACTTTGTAGGAAACTTAGTAAATCCGCATATTCGCTCTTCGCTTTGTCTAAGAAAGTTAAACTGGAATCCGTAGTAGTAACTTAACATGGCATGGTTGCATCATTATTACGATTTGGTGTTATATTCTGGGGGAATTGTAGTGAGAGAGAAAGTATTTTCAAATGCCAAAAAAGGTGCATTAGAGCCATGTGTGGACTAAAACCAACAGAAAGTTGCAGACCAAAGTTCATCTCAAATCGCATATTAACTCTACCCTCTTTATATATCCTGGAAATATGCATCTTTGTTAAAATGAATAAAAAAAAATTTATAAAGTTATCGGATGTCAGAGAAAGGCCTATGCGATCACAATATAGTAACTTATTGTTAACAGGTAGTTACAAAACAGCATTGTTGAGAACGAGTGTAGTTGCCATGGGACCTAAAATCTATAACAAACTACCGGAAGACATAAGATCACTACCATTATCATTATTTAAAAAGAAATTGACATCACTATTGATTGAAAAATGTTATTACAATGTCAGTGATTTCCTGCATGATAACTTGTGACAACTTAATTTTAATCATTTTTTTTTTATTGATTTCTGACATTTAATTGTATTTTTGATAAGTTTTATATTTGACATGTTTCATCACAATTATTATGACTATTGAAATATTTCTTATCACTGTAGGAAATTCTACCTCGACCGTGTTTGGTACCCAACGTCAAATATTGGACGCAAATATACTTATGTTTTTTCATCGCAAACTATTTTGCGCATCTCGATCTCGTTCACATCTACAACACTGAAATCACACTTGTTCTGTAATGATAGCAAAGTTGCAATTCGTGTAGTACTCAAACTTAGTAACTTTTTATATAACATTACATCACAAAAACTTTCTAAACAATTATTGTTTCCAAGTCCAGTTTAAAATACAATTTGATAGGGGCCTTTTTCGTAAAATAGACTCGCTTTATCTCAATATATAAGTATTTAATATTATTTATAAATTTATAAATAACGACTGGATTGTGTAAATTTATCGATTTTCCAGGCTCAAACACAGGAAATTCTAGCATTCCACTCATATTATATCTCAAACTATTTAACATTGGTTCGTTTCCTTATAAAATGAGTCAACTTGAGATGAGGCTATACTTTTGATAAGCATTC